CTTCAGAGGTTGTAGAACCATGTTTGGGTCCAGCACCACTGCTCCCTCTCCCTTCCCCAGGGCCAGTCCATGGCCGACAGGGAAGGGGACAGGCAGGAGAGCTGGAAGGAGGGAGGGAGGCCGGCTTCCTCTCAGAGCCTTTTCCTGGCTCAGAAATCTTTGCAGCCATGGCTCCCTGCCAACTCTCATTATCTGGAGAGATAAAAGACAACTTCCCCTCCCCCTCCCCCGCATACCCCCTCCTGCCCTTCAGGAGCTGTTGGCCCTGATCCCCTTCCCAGAGCCTTTTCCAGTTTCAGTTTCCTCCTATCTAGAACAAATTTTGCAAAATGCCCTTGAGAGCGGGGTGGGGGAAGGGGAGCTCTGCAACTTCCACAGACACTAACTGCCACTCAGAGATTCAAGAGAAAGGGGGTGGGGCAGTAAGAGGATCCTGCCCCTGTAGTTACTGGCCATAGAAGGGGGACAGCTGCTGCTGGCTTCCCCACACTCTGAGATCTGCTCCCAGCTCTTTTATCCACTTAGCTAATTCTAGACAAAATTTTCAATAAAATGTCCAAATAAAGAGATACAGGTCAGGTGGGACCCCAAAGCGTGTGCAGATGCAGGGGGCTCCCTTAGAGGGCTCTGCAAGAATCAAAAGGGGGGCCACAAATCCTTCCTTCAATCTTTGGTGCACAGGATCCCTGGCTCTGGCTCAAGGTCACACCAGCCTGGGAACAAAAGGGAGAAGCAGCCAGCCCAGGTTACCACTGAGAACAGCGATGGGAAACCAAGATTAGTGAGTGGCTGCATGAGTGGCCCTCCTTTGTCTCAGTGGGCTGCAGCCTTATGGCCCACGGGCCCACTGGTGTTCCACCTGCAGCCTGCCCACTCTGTCTGCAACACCTCCCCATGCACATCTTGTGCACTGAGGCATTGGAGCCCAGCACTTACTACTACTCTCCCTCTCTCCCAGCACTTTCGGAGCACCATGAATCTGCTGCGTAGCGCTCCGTTCCCACTCCTTCTCTTCCCTCCCAGAGCTTGAATAACGGGAGTTCAAGATCTGGGAGGGAGGAGGAGGAGGACTGGGGATGGAGTGCAAATCAGAGGACTCATGGTGCTCCTAAAATGCTGGGAGGGAGGGGGAGGAGTAGCGAAGTCCAAGGCTCCAGTGCCCCAGAGGCACATAGAGGAGGGAGGGAAGATGGGGTGTGTAAGCCGCAGGTCAAACCCCGGTGGGCCACATGCAGCCCAGTGGACCACAGATTTCCCACCACTGACTTAGAGACACACACAGTACTTGTCTGTACCAGGAGGCCGATGAGGGCTCCCAGCACCAAGGATGGAACACAGCGAAGCTGCTCACACAAACAGAGCCAGTTCACTTCCAGTACCAGTCACAGAAGGCACCCTAAGCCCAGACTGGTAGCAGGACCAAGCAGCTAGCTCCCAAAGCTACAGGGGAAGGAAGGTACTTACGACAGCTCTCCTCATCCGAGCCATCCTTGCAGTCTGTATCGCCATCACAGAACCAGTGTTCAGCTATGCAGCTGCCGTCACTGCAGCGGAATTCCTTCTCTGAACATTTCCTCATGTCTGCAGGCCAGAAACAGCAATGCAATCAGAGCCCAAGAATGCCAGGACACCCGAACATGCCTGTGCCACCCACTAAATCCCCAGAGCATCCAAATACACCCATGACCTCTGGTGCCTGGGCACAGCAGCTGTGCCCATTCTGTTTTTGCATTGAGTATCGTATTAAAAATTAATCCTCAAGAATTCAGAGTTCTGCATCAAGAAACAACAGGTCCAAGCATGGGCAAATGAGACTAGACAGGGATGCTGCTTAGAAGAGAAGCCCCATCGCCTTCAACCTAAGCAGTAACCCTGGTAAGCATGTCCCCAGCTGCCCATTTCCAGCAATCCAACGGCGTGGCCTTACCATGCTTTAAGAGATCATTAGCGCCCATTGTTTGGGAGCATGTGCTAACCCCTTTGCAAGCAGCTGTCCTAGGCCGATTGTGCAGGCACACCTTTCATGGCACTCCCATGGATAGGCCACTCACCACACTGTTCATCGCTGTTGTCACCACAGTCGTTGTCACCATCGCAGTGCCACAGGCTGCGGATGCAATATCCATTCTGACACGAGAACTCATCCTCCTCGCACTCCCGTGGCGCTGTAAGTACACAGCCGAGAGGAAGCTGAAGACAAGCTGATCTACCTTACAGAGCCAACTCCTCATCCCAGCACAAAGGGGCACTTTAGAACAATGCCCTCCAAGAGGGTGCCACCATAAAGGGGCACTCGTCCCCCATCACCACAGCACAACATGGGGTGGAGGTCAGAGACATCAAAGCCAGCTTGGGATTCCAGCAGAGACTCTCCTCCATTCCAAGTCTTGGCACTGACTCCCAAGCCCTGCAGCCCTGAGACTGGAAAGGAAATGTCTGGAGTGCCGCCCAGGTATCTGTCCATCCTGTGCTAGGGCTCTTTCACCGCCCAACAGCAGGCTTGAATGAGCCCTGCATGGTCCAAAGGGCAACACTGGCTCCGTACTCAAGGAATTAATACATTTCGTCACTATTAAAATAGGGACACACTAGTCAAACTGCAGCTTTACATCCTTGCTATGGCCAGGCCAAAGCTGCTCTCCCAGTGAAGGAGATGCTGAGAAGCAGGAGAGAAAGAGCTCAGTTCCTCCAACTCTCCAAGCCTTGAAATTCTGCTTCTGCCCATGTCATCTCTTCAGATCCCTCCCAGAGACTTCCTTGCAGAACAATGAGGAAGGGACTTTGGAGGGGGACCTTCCCTCACTAAGGGGAACTGAATCCAACAGAAACTTTCAGCTAGGACTAGAATCTCCTATGCTGCACACTGGGCAGCTTACCTCGCTATCCAGCCCATGCTTCCCAAGCAGAACCCATGTAATCAGCTTCCCCTCCTCCTTCTCACAGTTCCAAATCATCCTCCTCCTCCTGCCCTGCCCCTGGAAAACACTTATCCACAGCCCACATTCCTCCAGCACCACATTTCAGCTGAAGGGAAAGGGTCAGCACTGCTCAGACCTGAAAAAGTTAGCAACAGTGAGCATCAAAGCCCACCACAGAGATATCCCCCTGTGGCTTCAGGTCCAGAGCAGTCAGCCCTATGCCACAGCACTGGGCTTTTCAGGGAATAAAGGTACTTCTCCCCAACACTTACTTCCCTCTTGTGTGTTATCCCCACAGCAGAGCAGGAGCATGCTGCTGGGTATCACACATAATATTGCTTTGCTGGATCTTCTGTTTCCCCTACATTTGCTGCCATGTAGCAGTCATGTGGAAGTGTCCATCTCAGCGACACCCTCTCACCACCCCTGCCTTGCTGCTCTGGTCTCCCAAGATGGGGATAGGGATGGAACTGGAGAATATTTCATTCAATGACCAAACACTTGCACCCTCAATTTATGAACATCCCAACTTCTGTGCAGAGGAATGTCCATGTGAGCCAGCTCTCATATTTAATGAGCTCTGTGGATTGAAAGGGGCATGGAAAAGACACTGTAAAGCTGGACAACAAAACTGTCCTACAAAATCTTGAAACCACAGAGCCCTAACTCCACTAACCCCAGCCCCCAGTCTAGGGAAGAGGCAGAGACCAAGGTGTGACCCACATTAACTAGCTACAGTCCCATAGGGAGTATTCTGAGCTCTGGCAAAATGGCGCTAGGGTAGCATGAGTTCAGACCTACAGTTGTTTGGGAGGTGGAAAGGAGTCATCAGGGACAGTGTCAAGTCACATGTTCTGGGGGTGGGCTCAAGAGTATACCCACACACCTGAATCACCCTGCACACTCCTCCCCCACTGCTCAGCATACTGGGGAGAAGCGTGTCAAGCAGCAGAGAGCACTAGCCTGACAGCACACAGCTCAGTTCATAACAGCAGCCTGACGCCAGCCCTGCTGTCAGTGTAGCTCCAGAGACCTGTCAGTGAGGTGTGTTGCAGGAAAAGATGGTTCTCTGGCACATGCTGACAGTCCCTGAGATGGGGGCAATGAAACAACCATGAAGCAGGGAGGGGCACTTCAAGCACTGACCAGCCTTCACTTACTGGAACATCCCCAAATAGCACCTGCCCCCAGCACAGAAGGGAGAGGGTGGAGCTGCAAGAGATCAGGTATGTTTCCAGTCACATTCTATTGACTTTACCATCACGGCAACAGCCCTAGGTGCTGCCAGATCTAGTGTGGTATAGTCTGGGCTCTTTCCAGGCAGGGCTCTCTGATGTGGTGCCAGGTCGCCTCATCTCAGGATAACTGGGCCTCTGGCCAGACCAATGTCCCTGCCATACTCTCTTCAATGAAGCTGTCTGAAGGGAGAGGACCCCAAGGATGGCCCCACACAGCAGTGGAGTCAGACAGTGGAACCTGAGGCCACAGGAAATCAGCCAGACAAACAATTTAGTGGGATTTAGCAGGGGTTAAGCATTTCCATGAACAAGGAGCGCTTGAGCAGCTCAGCACTCAGGGAAGTGCTTCATGGGACATTAACTAGCAGGCCTCAGGGCGTAAACTGTTCTCCAGCTGGGACCAGGAAGCATCCCCTCCCCCAGGATTAAGAGCTACACAACTGGCTGGCCAGGTGCACTGGTGGGGGAGGGTCACCCTTCTCTAAAGCATCAGATACTAGCCTCTGCAAGATGCAGCATATGGAATAATGTGGGCCATGGGTCTGACTGAGTGAAAAAATCCCCATGTTCCTGTATCAACAAAGTTAACACTAGTTAACCGTTTGGGTGCCAGGTTCCCAGGCTATGTCTACACTACAATGATCTATTGGAAAAAGGTACGTAAATTATGCTCCACAGTTTGCGTACCTTTTTGCGATAGTTTTTTTGGAAGAGGCTTTTCCGAAATTTGGCCCGTCTACACTGGGCCAAATTTCAGAAAATTCTCCTCTTTCAGAAGAGTCTTCTTCCTCGTGAGAGGAGGAAGACAGGGCTTCTGAAAGAGCCCGTCACCTCTTCTGCAAATAAAAGCAGAAGAACAGACGAGTTCCCTGGACACAGCAGAGTCTTTCCGGGACATCTTTGGTACCCCGGAAAAACCCCATAGTGTAGACACAGCCCCAGAAGTCTAGCAACATCCTTTCAACAGCATCTCATCCTTTCAACAGCATCTCATCCTGTCCTTGAAGGGTTAACCTACGGCAGTCCTGTTCATCAGAATCATCTTCGCAGTCGTTGTCTCCATCACAGACCCAGGAGCGGCGGATGCACTTCCCATTGTCACAGTGGAAATCCAAGGGGGAGCAAGTAGGCAGCACTGAACACAGGAGAAAGGAGACAATTCACTATGTGCTTGCAGCAGGGTTTCTATAACGACCGTTTCCCCTGCTCCCACTAGCGACAAGCTTCCCAGAGGTAATGAATATATGTTTAAGATTATCAGTGAGCGTAAACCCTGGAAACTTGTGGTTGAGTGGTACTGCATCACCCCAGCAGCACTAACCTTCCCCACACTGTGGCCAAATCACAATGTTCCATTCTCTTTCCCATCCCCTACAGATGGCAACTCTTCCCATGCTGGTCCCCTCCCCGAAGTTACATTTCCTTCCTGACACTCAAGAGAGTTAACAAAATAGAAACATATCTAAATATTTCCCCTCCCTGCATGCTCCCCCACTGCGTATTCTCCTCCCCAGTCTATTACATGGGACACATGTCTGAAGGGATGCTCTTGAGCACACTCCCGTAGCATGTCTGTGAGAGGGGAATCTCCCAATGAGGTGTTGCTTCTAGGGCTCATGCCAAGGAGTTTAAGGCAGAAGGTGAATATGCTCCACCCTGCCCCAGGCAGGGAGGAGGGGAAATAAAGGGCACACTCAAGGTGAGGTAGTGATGTGGACTAGGAGATAGGGTGTTTGCTTGGGGAGGGTAAGGTGGTAGGTCCTAATCCCTCACCTCCAACTCTAGGAGTGGAGGAATAGCCAATACAGAGGCTGCCTCTACAGAAGGTAGGATAAAGGGTGCTCTGAAGGTGGGGGGGCAGGTTCCAGTGTGGCCTAGGGGATAGGGTGCTTGCCTGGGAAGGGCAGAGTACAATTAAAATGAGGTTGCTGGATTGTGGCTTCAAAAGGGCTCATGAGCATCCCCAAGCTAGAATTTGAAGGAGAGCACACACCCAACGCCACCCTTCCCTCACAGATGAGAGGAACACTCACAGCCCTGGAGGTTCATGCTTTTAAGTGTTGCCAGCTGCTGTGGGAAGGAGACTACACAGGAGACTCCTGACAGGTGTGTTCTCCAGAGAACAATGATACAATGAGGAGCAGAGCAGGGAGAGGCTGGTCTCTGAAACCCTTTCATCCCAGCCCAGCCTGCCGATAGCATCTCTCAGCTGTCATCACCCAGGTCAGTGCTGCTCTGCTAGGCTTAGAACTCCTCCCTACGCTGCCAAACACGCTGGGTGGAGGGGGAGCTAGGGGTTGGATACAGAAGCAACACAATAGACAAGAGACAGGGCAGACCCCGTGAGGACTAGAAAGAACAGACTGGATGGACAAGGGGGTTGGATACAGAAACAACACAATAGACAAGAGATAGGGCAGACCCCGTGTGGACTAGAAAGAACAGACTGGATGGACACACTTCCTGTTTTCCCAGTCCCACCCTCCCAATCGACCCTCTCGTCCCCCCAGCTCAGAGTTGCTGCCAACATTCTAGGTAACCAGTGCACATTAGACCAAGGAACCTCACAGGCTCTTTGACTTAAGTAGACCCACCTGGGACTGTAACAGGATTTAACCCTTGGCCGACTCTGTACAAAAAATGCCAGCACTCCTGACTCTCACAGCGTCACTAACCCTCCTAAAAGGCCTCTCTTGTAGGATCAAGCACTCTCCCTTCTCAGCAGGATACCAGGGACTTAAACCCAGAAACAAGCATGGCTCTCCACTATTGACAGAAAATGGCAAAGAACTGAGCACTTGCCCCAGAGAGCTCCCAAACTGACAGCACAGAGGTGCAACAGGCCTATGGCTTGATCTGCATCACATAGACAAATGGTTCCCCCTTCCTGAGGCTATGTCTACACTAGGGGTTTTTTCCAGGCTACCAGAAGTTCCGCCACATCCAGGGAACAAGTCTGCTCTTCTGCTTTTTTTTTTTGCAAAAGAGCAGACGCGCTTTTTCAGAAGCGCTGTCTTCCGCCTCCCACAAGGAAGAAGGGCTCTTCTGAAATTTGGCCCAGTGTAGACAGGCATAATTTTGGAAAAGCCTCTTCCGAAAAAACTAATGGAAAAAGGTCTGCAAATTGTGGAGCATAATTTGCGTACCTTTTTCCGATAGATCAGTGTAGTGTAGGCACAGCCTGAGCGTAACGCCAGGTCCTTTCTCAGCTTGATGCACCCTTGGACATGGCTCATCTTCTAACACAGAGCACCTCTGACCCCTCCCCAATTCCTCAGTGGATAGCCTCTCATCATCCCAGCCTGTCACCCTTCTCTGGCTAAGGAGTTTCTAAGTCAGGTAGAATCATACTATGCATGTGCTGAGTATGCTTCTTTGACCACCTCTTTGGGCTTACGCTTTCCATACCACTTTTACCCTCTTCAATGAGCTAATCACAACTGCACCCTTAAACATCATCTACTGCAATACTAACCCCTCCTGCTAACAGCGCCATGCCAAGGAGGAAACTGAAAAGAACAGTTCCCCCTCCCAACATAATAAAAGCCATGTGGGTTGGCAGACTAGCCACAAGACTGGAAACCTACAGGACCTGAATTCTAATCTCACCACAGGCACTGACTGGTCTTAGAGATACTTCGTAATTCAAGAAAGGCTGTAGGTACAATACAACTTTACAGAAGTTTAGGGGGGACTCAAAACAAGACAGCTGTTGAAAAGAAGGTTCACAATGGATATTTCGTTCACCCACATTTAGAGTGATGCATAGAGAGATAAGTAAGAGCAATGGGTTGAAATTAAGAGGGGACAAGTTGACCCAATATGAAGGAAAACTTCTTGAAAACAAGGTGTTCCAGAGTGTAGGGCATTCTTCCCAGGAAAGGAACAGATGCCCCACCACACAAAGCCTTTAAAACAGCACTGGACAAATTCCTACATAATCCAGCCTGGGTTTTTACTGCCTAGGATTCTACAAAGACTTTTGTTCAAAATCACACCTAGCCTTTCCAGGTACATCTACTTAGCCTGCAGCAGCAAGGCTCGGAGTTCAGAGGGCTCATGCTACAGCATTTCAAAAAGCTGTATACACATTGTGGCTTAGGCCGGAGCTTCGGCACTGATGCCCACCGCCTCAGAGCCCTATTGTCTACACAGCTGTTTTTAGCACTGCTGCATAATTATGAGTCTGTTGACCCAAGCTCTGAGACTTGCTGCTGCAGGTTGCTGCTCCCTGTGTAGACAGACATTCTCCACCTGACTGAGGCCGAGGGGGAGAGGAAGGCACACATACATGTCTCTACATTCACCCACCAGAGACTCATCAGAGGAGCAGGTTTTCTAGCTGGAGGTTTGTTTCCTTTGGCCATGCTCTCTGGGCACACACCTCAACAACCTCCTCCTCCTAGAGAATCCCAGTGCTGACTGAACATGGAGTCTGAAATACTATGCCCCAGGGCAGGAAGAGGGGACCACATCCTCCTCTCCATACTTTACTCCCAAAAATCCAACCAGAAATCTCAGGTTCTTGGATCTTGAGAGACAGGACAAGCTCATAGCTCTGCCTCTCTCCCCTCAATGCAGCCTCTGAAAATAGCATACAGACCAGACCCTTCCTGGCCTCAGCAGCAGTTTAAAAGCTAAAACTATTTCCCCCCAACACTGCCCCCCCTACACACGCACACGCACAGCATATGCATTACTGTCTGCTCTCCCCAATCCCAGCATGACTAATCACCAAAGGGCTGCGCAGGAGCTGCCTAGAAGGGAATTTGCATACAGACTCTCCAGGGAAGAATTTTTCTGGCTCCCAGAGGTTTAGACCATTAGCATTGGTTCAGAGCTGATACTGGCATCGCATTCAACTCCTTCTTCTCTTTGTGAGGTAACTGCACAAAATGAAATTCCACCCCAACAGGGAGCAGTTCAGCCAATTTCATACCCTTCGTAAATATGAAAAATAAGCTTCATGAGTTAGGAAAAAGAAAATGACACACAGAAACTGCTACATGCAAAGAAGGGCCCTATTCCCACCTTAGCAGACAGCAAGTGTGTCTGCCAGCCCACACAACTCTATAGCACAGACAGAATTTCCTTTTCCACAAGAGCCTCCTATAAAGACACCTAAGACAGGATGATGAATGAAGGCTGAAGTTTCACAGAATACAGGAAGTGCCAGCTCAGATCAGGCTCCTAGAGCCCATCTGGCAGGGATGTTAAAACGTCTAACCGGTTAAACAATAGGCACTTATCCAATAGTGTTTTAACCTAGGGTCTGCCACCTGGCTCTGCCATGGCCACGATGTCCCACCACTGGCCTTGCTGCAGCTGGGTGGTCACACTGCCCAGCCTTTCCGCAGCCAGGGCTGAGCCTGCTGTGGCTGGCTGCTGCCAGAGTTCACTGGCAAGCAGTGGTTAACTGGTAAGCATGCGTGTAAGCCTCATGCTTACCAGTCAACCATTAAATATCCCTACTATCTAGTCCAGTATCCTGGGCTGTGGGGTGGGAGTTAACTAACCCATGGAAACTAATTTAAATTTAGAACAGGAGCAAAACAGAAACTCAACTTTTCACTCAGGTTATCAGCTTGAGCTCAAGCCTAAAAGCTGAGTTGCCATATTGTTACTACTATTTTAATCTTAATTAGTCAACACTAATGCTAGCTAGCTACCCAAGTTAAGAACACCTGTTTCTGCGTGTAAACGTGTCTTGACAGAAGTGGCCAGTAGCAGATGCTTCAGAAGAAAATGTAGGAATCCCCATGTGCACCATTATGCAAAAGCATCCCCATAGGGTAAACTTACTCCTAAACTCACTCTCTTATGCCTCTCATTAGCTAATTTTATGCATTAAATTGTAGGTACTGTATTTGTAATCCTTTCTAATGCTACTCTGGATGTCCTCACTAACCTGATCCATTTTGGAATCCTTTTGAGCTCTTATTCTCAGTTGGTACCTTGTGGTAATGAGTTCCACAGGCTAATTCTACCTATTGCCAGTGACCAACACAAAAAGGCTTTTGAACTCCTGACCTCTTCTTCCATGTACTTATCCCTATTGCACATTCACACTGGAAATCATCCGAGAGTTCAGCAGAGCTAAGTCTACCATAGGCCTGCTGTACCCACTGTCTCTCA